AGGTGCCATAAATATTCTTAAGAGGTGATGTTTCATGCAAGACGTAGAGCAGAAAATCAAGCTTTTTCTCAGATGCTTTCCTTCTTGAATTAAACAAGGAGCTTTTGGCAAATATACAGCCGCTGTTTGCCAAGCGTCCTTGGCCTTGCTTATACTGACAGCTTTCTGCTGGCCAGACACCAGCTCTGACGGCTGTAGTTTATCAAGCCAAGTAAGGATCGGAACAGGTTTTTTGCCACATTATAAAGTACTACGTATCTATTTTATGAACTCTTCGTACTCTCAGAAACTGAGTATGAATATAAAAAGAGGTTTGAAATGCAGAGTCCGCACAATGTATGAGAATGAAGTGCCAACGGAGCCTGTGTTGACTGATCGAAGTGCTGCTTTCTCAACACTAAATGAAGGCGAGTTGCAGTTTTTACCTCTAATTTTTCTGTCTTCGGCTGAAATGCCAGATTTGTTCAAACTAAGTCAGGACAAAAAGCAATTTAAAGTAGTTCAGCTATACTCAGGCTAAGAAAAAAAAAGTAAATGTACTACAAGCTATTCTATCAAAAGAAGCAAAAGACTGGGACTGAGTGCTGCCCCAAATTAATCAGACTCATTTTTTTAAGCAATTTAATTGTAAAGAAGACTGGATATTTTAGTTTGATTTCAAAACAAATCATTTGCTAGCTTCCAAGATGTGTGCACATTTCTTTAAGACATTACATTTGTGAAAATATATTTGGTTTTCTCTACAAATTCACACAAAAACATTTATGCGCAATCACAGTAATAAATGTGGCTGGCAAAGACAAAGTCACGGGTTCGATTCCGCCATGAACTGATAAAATGTACACCTTGAATGCAATGTAGAAATGTGTCTGCCAAATCTGTGTTATGTAGTGTAACAATTTGTCCAGTATCAGTTCGATCCATAGCATAGATGGATGAATTCTTAAACTTGGAAGTTTGAAATGAGTTTTTGATGAACTTTACACCCCACAGCTAGGCCCTTCATGGCATTGCAAAGACGCACTACACTTGTGAATACAAACGTTAGTGGAAAACAATTAACTTTAAGTTAATCTGCATTTTAAATAGGGCTGTCAAACGATTAATTGCGATTAATCGCATCCAAAATAAAAGTTTGTGGTTACATAAATTACATATAAATCTATATACAATATATACAGACACACTACACTTGTGAATACACGCGTTAGTGGAAAACAATTAACTTTAAGTTAATATGCATTTTAAATAGGGCTGTCAAACGATTACTCGCGATTAATCGCATCCAAAATAAAAGTTTGTGTTTACATAAATTATATATAAATCTATATACAGTATATACAGACAAACTACACTTGTGAATACACACGTTAGTGGAAAACAATTAACTTTAAGTTAATATGCATTTTAAATAGGGCTGTCAAACGATTAATCGCGATTAATCGCATCCAAAATAAAAGTTTGTGTTTACATAAATTACAGTATATACAGACTACACTTGTGAATACAAACGTTAGTGAAAAACAATTAACTAAGTTAATCTGCATTTTAAATAGGGCTCGCAAACGATTAATCACGATTAATCGCATCCAAAATAAAAGTTTGTGTTTACATAAATTATATATAAATCTATATACAGTATATACAGACAAACTACACTTGTGAATACACACATTAGTGGAAATCAATTAACTTTAAGTTAATCTGCATTTTAAATAGGGCTTTCAAACGATTACTCGCGATTAATCGCATCCAAAATAAAAGTTTGTGTTTACATAAATTATATATAAATCTATATACATGAAAATCTTTCTTAAATATATACAAGCATGTGTGTGTATTTATATATATAAAATAATTAAACACAATGCACCCACATATATTATGTAAACACAAACTTTTTTTGGATGCGATTAATCGCTATTAATTGTTTGACAGCCTTAATTTTAAACAGTCATCTGTTAAAAGGGATAGTTCACCAAAAAATTTAACTTACCCTTAACTTTCCACTAGACACCAAAATAAATGAAGGCAGTATCAATCTTTCAATGACAGTTAAAGGCATGACTTGTTTCCTTGGATCCCCTTATGTCAAGGTTGTCAAGGTTGGTTTATGGAGTCATTCAGGTTTTTGCTGGTATTAGTACCAATAGAAACCATGACTTTACAAAGAATGATACATTGGCCATGAATGATAATGATTTCCAGGACTTGAAGTAAATGATATACAAAACATATTATTCAAGTTTTTAATAAAAAACTTGTTACATTGATTTTAGCTTAGCAAATAATGGTTATGGCTTTTGGCTTTCATTTTCGACCACCGTCCGAGTGCTCAAATTATCCACCCGGAAGCTACGATAGCTATTTAGGAGTCAAAAAAGTAGGCGACAAAAGCAGAAAATATGAGCGGGAGTGTCGCCCGGAGCGTGTGACTCACTCGAGTCGTTCAATGGAACTAAGATGGTCATTAACGTTCACACTTCAATAGTGAAATACCCCCTCAGCCACCTGGCACAGGTGATTATATCCTTATGATCACAGAAGGGTGAAGAGAAATTTTACTTTGCCACCTCGACGAAGAGGGCAATGCTTCTGTGAATTAATCGAATGAGGGAAAAGTTCAAAAACTCAGGCATTTTTCCAGAGTCCTTTCAGTGCTTATTGGTAACATTTTATATGCTGGGAGGTTTTCATGAAAACTTGTTCTGCTCAGTTGTGATGGCAATTTTTAATTGAATTGAGAATTGAATTTCAAAATAATTTGTGAAGTAAAACATCCAGGCCATAGAAACTCAGCATTTTCTAAATAGAGTAGCTGCCGTGTTGATATATATATAATATATATATATATATATATATAAGGATTTGAAACTTACAAATGTTGCTGTTTACACACAGAAAAATCAGTGTGTGGAAAAACTTCTTGGATCAGTGATCTTGAATGGCGGCCTAAGGCAACATGTTGTGGTTTGGTATTATTGAAAAGCTCATTATGGATTTTCCATTAAAAGTTTTGCTGAGGTAAATTCGGTCTTCGGCATGTCAAAGCTCACAAAGGTATTGAACTGAATGAAGATTATAGCCGAATTACTGACAGGAGAATATGGTTTTGTAAAACAGTCGTGACCGGCTATTTGATTTCTTACACTGATGCATCGTACTACGGTAGATAAGCCGTCATTGTATGGGAAACACACCACAGAATAGTGATTTAAACAACAGCTGTGAACATCCAATGAATAATGTTTTAGGCTAAATAATATTTTGTCATTTGGTCACTGCTGGAAGTGAAAACTCTCCCAGTTCTTCCCAAATTAATCCTTGTAACAAGACAGAAGACTGATGCAAAAACAACCAAACGTGTGGTAATACTTCAGAAACATTTATCTGTGTTAAAGCTCAAGGCTCTCTGAACTCTAAATAGCCATTGCTTTAAATTGATTCAGTTAACTAGAAAACACAAGGCCAATTTGAAATCCAATCATGAAATGAGCTGATGACAAATGGAGGCTCACATTATACACAGTAATCAAAGCATTTCTGCATTGCTTTGAATATCGTTCTTTGCTAGTTTTATGATTAAAGGGATGGCTTACTTACATCCAATCCTGTATGGCTTTCTTTATTTTTTGGGGTACACAACAGAGGCATTTTGAGACGATAAAAGTCAATGGTCACCAAAACATTCTTCAAAATGCATTAGATGATGGAACTGAATATCACTGTTAATCAAAATTGTGAATCTGATATTGTTGTAATATAAATTTAAAATTCATTTAATATTTTCATTTCCTCAGAAACTTACATTTTAGCAAGAATTTCGCAAGTTATTTTGTCTATTTAGTTACAAACAATAGATGAAAAACTTAGAGTGTCTAATTTAGAATCAGATTTAACTGAGAATCTGCAGGGACTAACTAAATTCAACACAGAAACTTTTAATAAATTCTTCTTATTATGATTTGATTGTTAAAACAGCAAGTGAAGACTTCTAGGAAGCGATTTCAACATCAGTCCCTCATTTCAATGTCAAAGGACTGGATCAATGTCTCTGAATCAATGAATCAGTCTCTGTGGAAATGCTTTGAGTTCTCAGGTTGAAACCACTGTCATTTTTGACTCTCTGTCCAAAGAACAAAAGATCAGAGAATCACATGTCTGATCTGATTTGCTCTACTAGAAGCAAGAGTTTGATTCTGAATAGACTTGATTAAACTCGAATGAAATGATTTTTATTTGTTCTAGTCGTCGAATCAGATCCTATGTGCAATACAAACAGGATCTTATTAATATTTGCCAAAATTCACACACTCTCGAAAATTTTAAACCAAATTTGGGTCAAATATGGTCAAACCCAAATGTTGGGTTAAAAATGTAAATTAAACATTTAACCCAATGGCTGAGTTTGTCCATAAACAACCCAGCATTTTTTAGAGTGCAAGTAAAGGGTGTGCGGACAATAGTTTTGCATGTTCGGATATACACTAAAATGCACATCAAAACAACTTTTCAACAAATGAGAGTCTCGCTATGGGATTGTGTCTGAATATTGAACTTGATGCCTTGCAGTGTGGGCCCTCACAATGGTTTTGTGATTTTCAGTCTTTTGGTGTCTATCCAAATGTACAAAAATGCAAAAATAAGTGTGATCTATGACCTTTATGATTTACAACCGGCTGGTGACCTGAAACATTTACAGGAGCCCGATTTATCACTGCATGTATTGCTTCATTAAACATGACCATCGCTGCTGATGAATATTTATGGTAAAGCAAAAAGTAGTGATTTTGTAGGGGCACTAGGGCGTCGAGATAAAGCGTGCGGGAGTATGTGCGTGTGTTAATGCGTACTTCCGTCTCGAGTATGCGAAAGTAAGTGCACCCTGCATGCTCCCCTTGTGTAAAAAGCATTTGTGTGTATACACTCGTCGACTTGTGTATACATAAACACACATGACTGTGTGAGTAGGAGGGAAGCCTAGAAAAGGGAAGAGTTGGGCTTGAGTTGTCACAGACACCTGGACGGAAGGAAAGAGAAAGAGAGAGTAGCGGAGTGTAAAACAGTTGAGGAGGGACACAGCTTATTAATGAGTAACACACACATGTTGATTTCCAATTTCCTGCTGTAGCTCACATTTAAAAGAGAGGACAACAAGCAAGAGAGCCGGTGAGCGACCGAGGAAGTTTGTGATTCGCACCTGGTCGGACTTTTCTAGGTAAGCTGAACATTTTTCTTAGAGTACGTGTGTCTGGCCTGTGATGCAAATCTCTGCTGATCTGATGTGCGGTCTGGTTCAGTCATCAGCACCGATATTCCTCATGGTATTTTGGGAACATTAAATTCATAAATCTGCACAGCAGATGATTGGTGGTGGAGGAGAACTGCGGGTTCCTCTGGCAGGGCTGAACACTTGCTACTCTGTGCTGTAATTGAGCTTCGGCACAGAGTTGATGTGTGTTCTAATAGACTCTGCATTAAACATTAAGCACACTCCGGAGATGGAACAAATGGATCTGGAGCAAACCGAGCAGCACTCAGTCGCTCATAAACGACAGATAAGCGAGATTACCCGCAGCTAACTGCCCTGAACACGCTGCCATGCGACGCCTGCGTTTATCAACGCTTTTGTTGTAATTAAGTACAAAGAAACATCCAGAATGCGTCAAGGGGAGTAAAATGATCGTGAATCAAACACAGTCAGGTGTGAGAAGAAATTCTTGCTCGAGTGCTCGGATTCGCTTATTTATTCAACTAATTTGCGCTTGTATGCATAGTTCATCTTTTTTTAATTGTGGTCATATTTTAAGAGGATCTTCGAACACCGTTTTGCAAGTGTGCCTTAAAACAACGGCATTCATTGGAAATAAGTGACTTTGGATAAACGTGATTATGATTACAGTAGCAGATAATGAATTAATTAAGACACATTAGTACACATTACTATGTTATGAACTTAAAACACTTCAGCAGTGTTGATTTCATCCTGCCTAGAGTTTAGAGATTGGCTTTTGGATAATTAATGATAACACACTCACTCACAGCCTGGGAAATTATAGTTGGTTTCAAATGAACTCTAATACCCCCAGTTTCACAGACAAGGCTTAAAGGGATAGTTCAGTTTGAAATTATTTTTTGGTATGTTTTAACGTACCTCAAGGGCATCCAAGATGTCTAAAACACAGAGAAGTCCAAATTAAACATGATTTAATGGCTCGTAAATGTAAGTACACATTGATGGCCTAAGACACGAAACGAGCGGTTTGTGTGAGAAAATGAACAGTAAGCTAAAACATACCAAAAATCAATTTCAAAGTAAACTATCCCTTTAAGCCTAGACTAAAGAATAAATGAATGTTCGAGCTGTTTTAAAAGAAAGCAACTTGCACTGATAGATCTTAAAATATGCCATTGTTTTATCGCAAGATGGACATCAGTATTGCTTGTTTTTCTACTATGGCACGTTTAAGTAACTTCACCAACCTAATCCTGGCTTAACCTAAGACCTGTTTGTGAAACCAGGCTCACGGAAAAAAAAAACGTCGCTGCTAATAACAATACAACTGAAAGCGATTATTGGGAATGTTATTTGAAATGGCCCACATTCAAAATAATAATTTACTGTTGGCAAAATATAAAATCACATCAGGTGTTCACATGCACGTATACAGTACAGGATTCGGCTTCTTATCTCATGCATAACAATAGCAAGTGTTTAGCCCTAAATACTCGAGTCTGTTGGACAACACATTCTCTCCCCTCTTTGAAACGCTGTAGCAACAGAATGACTGGAGAGGATCACAATGAAGCCACTGTTCTGCATCGAATCTTGCTTTGATTCAAGTAACTAATGGCTTGATTCTCTTCCCAGACAGATCCTGAAAATGACTCGCTCCGTGAGGGAGTTGTTGAAAGAGTACATGTCGGAGCGGAGGGTTCGCAAGTGTCGCCTGGTGGCCAAAGATGGCCGCTGCAACATCGAGTTTGGCAACGTGATGCACAGAAACCACTTCGCCTATGTGCTCGACATATGGACCACCTTCGTAGAGAGCCGATGGCGGTTCGTCATCTTGCACTTCGTGGCGTCCTTCACCCTCAGCTGGTTCATCTTCGCCCTCCTCTGGTACTGGCTCGCCAGAGACAACGGTGATCTAGCTTGGCAGAATCCACCCAGTAACCACACGCCATGCGTCTACAGTGTGATCGACCTGACTTACGCTTTCCTCTTCTCGCTGGAGACCCAAACCACCATCGGTTACGGCAATCTGTACGTGACCAACGCCTGCTCAGGAGCCGTGGCTCTGATTGTAATTCAGAGTCTCATAGGTGCCATAATCACTTGCTTCTGGTGCGGGGTGGTTATGACAAAAATCGCCCTCCCCAAGAAGAGAGCCAAGACCATAACGTTCAGCGAATGCGCAGTCATCTGCCCTAAAAAAGGCACTCTTTGCCTTCAGATCCGCGTGGCCAACCTGCGCAAGACCCTGATGATCGGCAGCCAGGTTTACGGCAAGCTCTTGAGGACCACGATCACCCCTGAAGGTGAGACCATCATCATGGACCAGGTCAACATCGACTTCACGGTGGATGCCGGCAAGGACAACCTGTTTTTCGTCTGCCCCTTGACTCTCTACCACGTCATCAATAGATCCAGCCCGTTCTTCGACATGGCCGTAGACACTCTGCACCAGCAGGAGTTCGAGCTCGTGGTGTTTTTCGATGGCACGGCCGAGTCCACCAGCTCGTCCTGCCAGGTCAGGACTTCATACATCCCACAGGAGATCATGTGGGGGTACGACTTTCTCCCCATCATTTCCCGCAGCAAAGAGGGAAAGTACAGGGTGGACTTTTCCAACTTCACCAAAATGGTGCCCGTCCCAACGGCTCATTGCGCGTACTGCTACCACAATGAGGCAGGACACCATCACCACTCCATAAACGGCATCGATAACCAGGGCTTTGAGGTCATTGAAATTGAGCCGCCCAGCAGCACCAAAATGTAAAGCGTTTTGCCTGACGTGTACTGTATGTTTTGCACAAAGCAACATTGCGAGCTCAGCATCTTGCACTATACAAGAAGCACTGGACACAAACGCGTTTTTCCCTCACAGTTTTCATTTAGTTTAAAGAAAAACTGACGGAGTAAAACCCATATTGCAGTCCATTTCTTTTATGATTATTTTAGAGAGACAAGCATTCAAGCCCACATCAAAAAAACAATGAGTCTTTGTTGTGACAATATCAAAAATATAAAAGTGTGAATGCTTCTGTTACAGGGTCATTGTGTCGGGAATGAGAGTATTAACTGCAAGTTCATACGAGATTTTTATCGTATATAAAAGTCTAAGATGAACTGATTTAAATTATGTGTATGATCCGAATCACTCTGGGATGGTGTGTTCCTTTGTAAATTTATAGATATTGTTAATATTGTATTATTGAATTTGTAAATGCCATTTTTACTTTGTGAATATCATTTTTTATAATAAAACAAATATATCAATTGGAGTTTGGTGCTATTAAAATCTACATTGGCTAAAACAAACCACACGGGGGCGTTCAAGACAAAGCTATAGTTGACAACTCTTGGTCTTTTGATTTGAATCCACAGTGCTGGATCAACGTTATATCCATTCTCAGTCCCAAGCTCCGAGATAACAGCGACCTATTGCGTATCAAACACAGCCAAACAAAGCAGTCGTGTCACGGCTTTGCCCTAAGCAGCGATGAGTAGCCTACTTGCAAATTTGTATAGCTCATAAAGCATGTAAGAAAGGGTGGTGAGTGATACATCCCTGTTGTCTGAAGCTGTGGCCCGCTGACTCACTACATGACACATCAAATAATTATGTAAGAGCCTTATATTAAATATTTTCGATATGGGATGATTGTAATTCCCTGAAGAGTGTTAACTGCCAAACACTGAGAAGTAATATATCTTACCTTAGACTATCCATATGCGTGTGCAATCCTTTAACACTGATGTACGTCAGATGGAGTAATAGCAGTATTTGGCGCGCTCTCTGAGGGGAGGAAGTTGGTCCGAACCCAGAGTACTTCCTGTCTGGGACAGGAACCAAATGAGAGTGAGGATTCGGGGATTCGGGGTCACGGAGGGATGCAGGAAAACATTAGGTGCGTTCCATTCGACAGGGTCCCTACACAAGTGTTCACTGCTCCCTACTCCCTGAACACGGTATCAGTTGAAGTGGACTTCACTGACTTCCTGTGAAGTGATGTATCGATGTTCCCTTATTCCCTATGCCGTTTGCAGTGCCCTTCGAACTGAACATGTTCATTCCCTTCGAATTGGAATCTCACTTAAAATGGCAAAATACCCTGTGAAGTCCACTTCGTAGTCCACTTAAGGTCGAATGGAACGCACCTTGAGGAACACAGTTGAGTCGGCTACAGCCTTCCTCGCGTGTTCCTCCCGTAATTTAGTAATAAAAATCATTAATACTCAACAGATTTAATGTGCCATCATGCTCCCCAGATGTGCTCATGATCACTCAGTGCTGGATTAGATGAAGTATCATGCAGTCTAGACCTAAAGATTGATTCAGAAGTCAGACACAGATTTTCATGGGTGATTTAATATTTGATATACAGTTTGACTATTTTTAACGTGATCATATACATTCCGTGCGAGCCATTACATAAGTTTAGTTTAGCGGTTTAGAACATCACCCTTTTAACAAATTGAATCAAAATATGGTTATATTTTATTTTAAGGTGGCGTCGTTTTATGTACTTATTCAAATAAGTACTGAGGACTATAGAGTTACGTTTAGTGTTTGGTTTAGGGTTAGTTATTTGTAATTATACATAATGTACTGTTGTTACTGTAGTCAGTTTAAAATCACCTCAAATAATACCCTGCAACTGATGCATTGGTCAAATGACACACACAGTTATATGGAGAGATTTTTAATGTAAAAACATTTATTTTGTCACATTTATTTTACCTATTCAACTGACCCTTTTACAAAAGGTAATACTTAATAAATTGCAGAAACAACAAAATGAACAAAAAAGATTAATTGCAATATTTCATATATATATATTTATATAGCAATAAATTTAATATCCAAATACTTGCATATATAAAATAGCACAATTCCTTCATATCCGAGAGTGATCCAGAGATGAACAGTTGGGAATTTCCGATCATCTTTTTGTCTTAATGCTACAACATACACACGCTTGTGTGAAACTAACACTGTTTTTTAGGCACATACGTTTGCCAGTGATACGATTTGGCACCGAGGGTTTATTATGGCACTTCGGAAAACCGATTGTCTCCATGCATGTTTGGTAAGGCATTTGCTTCTAGTGAATAAAAATATGAACTACATATCAAAATAACTTTCTTATTGTCATGGCAGCACACCAAGAACATTAGAAAATGCATTTTCTGAAAAATACAAGAGAACATTCATAAACTTATTGCCCATATGTACAGATACAAAACACCTACGTAGTTCAAACTACCTTCAGTAACTGATAAAAAAGTTTGCATTTTGACCGAGGTCAACTCGTATTAACGTATGATTCTTAACACTGTCACATATGAAAATAGCTCTGCATAATTTATACAGTAAGATGCTTTTAATGCCTAGTTGACCTTTGATCAAAACAAAAAAAAAATAAAAAAATTAAGAAATACTAGCAAATAGGTCTGACAAACGCACAGCGTTCGCGAATCTCTGGTTTCAACGTCTTGTGCTGCTGTTATTTTGTTTTCTTTTCTTTCAAAGAGGTACTTTGCATGATGCCCACATTCAGCGATCCAATAATCTAGTCAGGATTGTTAAGACATATAGTGAATTTGAACACTTTGGCTGTTTTGAGATGAAAACGAGTGGATTTTCACTGAGAAGGCAAGGTAAAGCAGGTTTCGATCCATTCCACAAAGCTTTCACATCAACACCGTCTTCTTCGTCAGCATTAGAGGAGCGCTAAAGATGAGTAAGTGAGTTTAGCTTGAGCCAGCTAGCCTGAGAAGCTCCTAAAAAACAATCAGGCGCCACGTCCTCCAGCCAGGAGGATAAATGGCGGCTGAATGCCAATATTTGTTCCAGTTGCCAGATTTGCTTTAGAAAAGAGAGTTTCAGTCACGACTTACAAAAGATAACTTCATGTAACCAAGGTGGGTTTAGATAAATTCCAAAAGGGAAGCAGGGACTAGGTCCAAAAATATAAACACTCGGTTCACAATTGCATTAACACACAGGGTGAGTTTACAGTGATTCGTTTTTTTCGGTCGGTCGGTCGGACGTACGCCGACTTATACATAATAGAGGTGGTCTTTATTTGGTAGAAAGGGACCCATCGGTGCAGCTTTCGGGTGTGGAAAGGCACGAGAAACATGCGCAAACTCTCCAAAACAAACACCAACCCAAGTCCTTTGAATAAGTAGTACTCCATTTTGAAGAGGATCAGCCATTTTTGGTCCACTTTCTCTGTCTTTCAACATCTGCTTCCTTGCACAAACGTTTCGGCCCAAATCCCTCCCTTTCCAGCTTCCTTGTTTGTCTTCTCTCCGAGTGCGGTTCAGGTTTCGGCATTCGGGGAGCGGGTGTGAGGTGAGGGGCTTTAGTAGTAACTGCCGAGGTGAGAATTGGCGTGACGTGGCATGCCGGGATTGGGATAAATCCCACCTGTCGGAGAGCTCCAGTATGGGGTCGTGGGCCCGAAGAAATTGGAGGAGGTGACGGGCATGGATGGAGGATGGGGCGAAACGAAGTTGACCTTCTGCTGGTGAGCGTGGTAACTGGGCACGTAGGGCAGGTCGGTGGGGTACTTGTACATGGTGGACTCGGTGGGATGGGGCTGCAAGGCCTGAGCGATGCCGTGGAAGTCAAACTTGTAGGCGTAGCGCTTGCCGTGCACTTTGGTCATGATGTTCTTGTCGTAGTAGTAGCGCAGGGCTCGGCTGAGTTTGTCGTAGTTCATGTTGGGCTTGCTCTTGCGCTCGCCCCAGCGACGCGCTACTTCGTCGGGGTCCGTCATCTTGAACTCTCCGTTGGTTCCCTCCCAGGTGATGCAGCCGGCGTTGGCGCTGTCGGAGAGAAGCTCGAGCAAGAACTGCCACAGCTGGATCTGACCCGAACCTGGACAACCACACGGACAGGGACATGCATGTGATAATATCACTACTGTTATGGGTCTTATATATGGGAATATTTGTCTTACTGAGAAGAAATTAAATGTTGTCGATTTGTGTGAAGTCACAAATGGCCAATGGGAAAGTTTCAGCATAGAATATTATTATATTATAAGTATATTTACCGAGAAATGTTCTCACCACTGGGTTTTTTCAGCCCGTACTCATGCTGACGCTTTTGCCAATGCGTAGACATACAACATGCATGGTCCCATTTAGCATCAATATGAAGGCGCCTCCTAGTGGTCTAACCCTGACCTACCCCAGACCTAAACCGGATTGTGTTATATTGACGCTAAAGGGTGCCATGTGCATTGGATGTCTACGCATTGGCAAAAGCGTCAGTATATGACGGCTTTTTTACAGGATTAATCATTCAATTCGAAATTCACTCGATATTCATAGTTTACATTTTAGTCAATTAACAGTTAAATGCATTTAATGTGTTATTTACATGCATGGAATGTACAGGCATTCACTGTGAGTGTTTCGGGAATTCAAACTCTATCACAAATATTTTATAATGATATTTTGATAGATAGGCTTTTTTGATCGTTATGGAAGCTTGTTTCCGCCACTGACAAATAATTGCGACTTTTTTTCTCACAATTGCGAGATGTGAAGTCAGAATTGTGAGAAATAAAGTCGCAATTGCGAGATATAAAGTCAGAATTGCGTGATGTAAAGTCAGAATTGCATGATATAACGTCGCAATTGCGTGTTATAAAGTCAGAATTGCGAAATATAAAGTCAGAATTGCGTGATATAAAGTCGCAATTCTGATAAAAAAAGACAGAATTGTGACTTTTTATCTTACAATTATGACTTTTTTTCTCACAATTGCGAGTTTACATTTCACAATTCTGACTTTATAACACGCAATTGGGTGTTTTCGCAAAAACATCTTTTCACAGAATTATGAGATATAAACTCACAATTGCGATTTATCAGGGCAATTCTAAGGGGGAAAAAAAGACTAACTTTTTCCCCTCAGAATAGTTTATATCTCACAATTCTGACTTTATATCAAGCATTTCTGACTTTTTAACACACAATTGCGACTTCATATCTCGCAATTCTGACTTAAAGTGTTACCAAAATTACTTTAATATTTTAGTTTTAAATTCATTTAGACCAAATCGTAGAATTTTAGAAAAGCAGAGAAATAGTATAAAAACATTCGTTTCTTCATTACTGAATCAGAATTTTGATAAAATATTAAAGTTTCTAAAATGACCCGTTTTTCGAAAAGTACAACGTAAAAAAGTTCTTGTTCCTGTTGTTACCTGGGTTTGCAAGTCGACTGCTAGTGGGTCCTAATATCTGGTAAGGGTCTGAAAGGAAAGAGAAATGAATCTGAATGTGACCGTAGTCAAATTCCACAGTTTTATTGGAGATCCACTAGCTGAACTGAAGAAGAATAGAACTAGCAACAAAAGGGACGTGAAAATGAATCTATAATCCAAACGCCACCTGCTAAATACATAAATATGAAATCTATTTGAAGGCTCACCTGGCTGAGGCCGAGCCGGCTCAGTGTTCTTGGACACGTTCTGAGAGACCACTGTAGGAGAGCCTGAGAAATGGAAAGGAAGAAAGAGAGAGAAAAAGAGTTCAGCACATTCGTCTGGGCGAGCAGACGCTCAAGTCTCGGTCCAAAGAAAACAAGGGCAAAATCTGGCCGAACTGCTGAGCACTTAATGAGCCTCTCCAGCTCCCAGCGTCCCTACAAAACTAAAGCCTGGCCGTCTGCGGACTCTCCCGTCCAGATCAAGAGCATCGCCCACCAACAATGATGCGTTTACGTGTCTGACCACCCAATAAAAGCAATTAATCAAGCCGGACACTGACCTTTGCCGCTGTGCATGTTGTTTGACCAGCCTGCCCTCCGGACGGCATCATAGGACGCATCTGGAGAAAAGAGAAAAGAATTTAAAGGGGTTTTTGTAACCTGCCATTGCTTTTCCAAAAAGCTCAGTACGGCTTTGGAAAATGTTTTAATGTTCCTGCAGAATTTTATTTGGATTGATTATTGCAGTTTATATCCAATGTCCTTGCCTGAGGAGCAAACTCGAGCTGTGTGTGTGTAACCCTAATATGTGGACAAAAATTCCCCACAAAGGTATCAATATCTGAAATCGTTATCCTTGTGGGGACATATGTTGGTCCCCATGAGGAAAACAGCTTATAAATCGTACAAAGTGATGAGTTTTGAAAATGTAAAAATGCAAAAAGTTTTGTGTGATGGCTAGAGTTAGTGTAAGGGGAGAGAATATACAGTTTATACAGTATAACAATCATTATGTCTATGGAAAGTCCCAATAAATCATGAAAACACAACAAGCTGTTTGGTTTTATCTGACAAACTCACAGACTCAAGCAATAGTGTTGTCAGGATTGCAGTTTGAATCTGTTTGGTAAGAGCATCATGAACATCAGCTTGTCTTGTTTTTAGAGATCTCACACAACCACAAATTGCACACACATTTTGAGCACATAGGTACACACTGATTTTAGAGCCAAGAAATAAGTTATATCGTCTCCCAGGCTTCAGTGGAATGCGTTATGCTCTAACAATGAAATATTTCCTCCCAATAACATGTTTTATTAGCACAACTTAAAAACATGAAATAGTTCCTCTTCCAAAAGCTTTTTTTTTTAAAACTATGAACATTTTGAAAAGTAAATGTAAATGTATGTGGTGGTTAAGTGCATGCATATTTTTAATAAATGGATTCGTTTAAACACTAGAAACTCCTAACTCTTTTTAATTTCAAATCATTGCTGCACTCGTTTCCCTGGCCTTCCTCACAACGTGCATTTATTTTGAATGCATGAATTATAAATCATATTTGTGCTGATAGGGATGGACTGGCTATAGAGAACATTGGGACTTTAAAGGGAGAGAAAAGTCACATTCAAGCCGCAGTGGATCTTCACACACTTCTGCATCTACTGGAGTCTGTAATGTGCTTATTTCTTATTAAAAGGATACTTCACTTTGAAATTCATTTTTGGTATGTTTTTGGTATGTAAGATGTAGGTGTCTTTGTTTCCACAGTATTCTCAATTTTGATATTTTTAGGTCAAACCGTTCTTGTCTGTCAGTCATTTAATGGAGGTCTATGGTCACCACCTCAAAGAGCATGCACAGAGAAGTCCAAATTAAACATGATTTAATGACTCGTAAATGTATGATGGCCTCAGACACGAAACGAGCGATTTGTGTGAGAAAACGAACAGCATTTATATAGTTTTTACCTCTTGTAAACACAGCCACGTCCAAGTGATCTGAGGCCGCGGGCGCTTTGTGGCAAAGAGGCAAAAACGATATAAATACTGTTTGTTTTCTCACAAAAACTGCCCATTTCGTGTCTTAGGCCATCAATGTGTACTTACATTTACGAGTCATTAAATCATGTTTAATTTGGACTTCTCTGTGCATGCTCTTTGAGGTGGTGACCATAGACCTCCATTATATGACTGACAGACACGAACGGTTTGACCTAAAAACATCAAAATTGAAACTACTGTGGAAACAAAGACACCTGCATCTTGGATGACCTTGAGATAAGCTAAATAAATTTCAAAGTGAACTATCCCTTTAAGTAATTCCATTGTGGCACAGAGTTATCATCAACAGCTAAATTATCAATTTATTTGGTCACACTTCACACTTCTCACTATTAACCAACTATTAACTATGACTTTTGCCTCAATAAACTCCTAATTACTGCGTATTAATATTTAGTAAGGTAGTTCTTAAGTTTTAGGATAAAGGAATGTAGAATATGGTAATGCAGAATAAAACATTAATATGTGCTAATAAACAGCCAATATCTTAGTATTAGGCAAGCTAATAAGCAGCTTGTTAATAGTCAAAATCGGACCCTTTAATAAAGTGTTACCTTTTAGTTTTAATAAAGATGGATGAAACCTATTGAACAAATTTCCAAACAAATGTTTAATAACTCAGTCTAAGAAGCATGTGTTTTCACTGTAAGAGTGATCCCAGGAAACACAGGTTTTTATTCTCGCATGGCAACGCCGCATCCGTCCCCTCGGAAAATGGCCAGATTCCCCTTCATTCTCAAACGTACTCTTAAAACATTCCCATCATGCCTTGCAGCACTGTAGATATCCCTTTTTCCTGTACGGAAATGAACCAATGACTGGCACTAATCAAGTTTCTACATGCCCTAGATGGGCTTTTTGGCCTTGGTTCCAGAGCGAGTGCTTCCTCTAGGGCTTAGATGGGCTCTGTGTATGGCCCTATGGATGAAACTGCCCGAAAATGTTGGCCCAACGCTAGAATTATGTCTTTGAAAGGAACCGTTGTGGTATGACTGTCCTGATGGCTTGAACTTTAGTGCACAACTCCACCTGAACAGAGCTCGAGACACATGCAGTCGTGATAAAACACTGCCCTCTTCTGGTCACTGTGTTTGAAATCTCTTCCAAGTTTGGGTGGAACTCAGAGACATTATCCTCTGAAGACAAAGAAAAATGTTTAGTTTGGAAAGCGCTGGTAAAAGTACATGGCCCACGTTTCAAAAGCAAAGCAGTCTCTCCAGCCAGCGTTTCTCAGCAAAAACACAATCCAAGAAAAAGGAAGAGGCTAATCTCTAAAAGCATCTCCTTCAGTGAGAAAGTGCACCCCGTTCATTGCTCCCGGTTATCGTGAAACGCACAGCTGAACTTGACGCATTGCATTATTAAATACACTGCACATTAGTTCAATCTGTGATCTGTTCTGAGCCTTATTGATTAAAGGAATGAATCACTTAAAAATGTACGTTTCTCTTTAAACTTTTAAGAAAAGAGGTTTCAACAAAACGAGGAAGGTAAAAATAAACGGTAACACTTTACAATAAGGTTTCATTTGTTAACATTTGTTCACTACTTATAGCATTCATTAATCTTAGTTATCAATGTCATGCACTATCAAAATCAAAAGTTGTAACATTAGTGACAAGATTTCTAACAATGAGATTTTTATTACCATTGGCAAACGCTTCGGTAACACTTTACAATACGGGTGCACTAATAATGCATTAATTCATGCTTGATTAATGCTGAGATAAGAACTAAACCATTAATTAATGATTACTGCATCAGCAACTAATAAAGAGTCTATATGATTAGTAAAACATGAATTGCTATTAATTCAATGTGTCATTGTGTATTAATTCCTTAATAACATATTTTATTAACTAATAGTGTAAATTTAATGTGTTAATTACCACAATTAGTCAAAGCTATGCACTTCAACTTCCAGTTGTCTGCTTTAATTAATCATTAGCTAATGATTTGCAAAGGTATCATTATGCTATGACTTTACTTGATGGGGCACATCATTATTAACTAGTCATTTAGTAATTTGCACATGAATTTGCACTAACAATGAATTAATGAATCGTGTATTAATGCTTATTAGTGTACCTGTCATATTATCTGGAAGTTGAAATACAAGGCTTTGGCTCATTCTGGTAATTAACATATTAATTAATAATTATTTGTGAGTAATCCACAGTTACATATTTAATTAATTACAATTCATGTATGAACTAATACATTAACCTTACAGACTCTTAATTAGTTCCTAATGTGGTAATCATCAATGAATAGCTTAGATACTCATTAGTAATTCAGTATTATCTGTGCATTAGTTATTAGTGCACCCGTATTGTAAAGTGTTACCAACGCTTCAAATATATTCCTCATTGCCAGTTCATGTTAGCTAATGTTAATAAACAAGACCTAAAGTGTTACCAAATAAAAACATAATTAAAATGAGTCTAAAGAACTTTACATTTCACGTCTTCAGAAGTCATATTGCTTTGTCACTTGCAAGAACCAACAACATTATTTTTACCGACCTCTAAACTTAAAGATTCTTCAAAAATGTTCTTTTTTTGAAAAGCATTCGAGTTTGTAACGACACAATGAGAATTTCAATTTTAATTTCATTTGGATGAAGCATTGCCTTCAAGGCAACTCAGATGCATGTTTTTGAACTCTAAATAGTGAAACTGCATGAACTGTGCATCCAGACACTAAACCTGTGTAATTTCTGGGAAAAGTTGCCTTTCATTTAATGTTCCTCTATTTTAGGCCTTCTATCATTCTTTGTCCTCAAAACACTCACTCTTTCCCTCTAACGATCTTCCATCCTTCACTCTCTCGGTGTCTGTCAGATCTGATCTGCAGCAGGGCCGGAGAGAAGAGGAGAGAGAGAGAGAGAGAGAGAGAGTCCTGAGAGAGTTACGTTTCCTGCCTGCCGAGTCTGCTCACACAACCTCTCTTTGTTTTACTGGCCTTTTTTTCCCTCGTTTTTTCATCCCCCTCCACCATGAAAAACACACAGCAGCCAGGAGGAGAAGAGGGGTCAGAAACGGATGGGGAGAACAGAGAGAGATGGAGAGCAGACGGGACACATCATCGGAATTCGCAAAGAAAACAGTGGTGGTGGCCGTCGCTACTGTCTGATAGAGACGAGGAACGAACACTGACGGATCCCACCACCAGATCTTCTCAGCGAGGCCCGTGTTCCTAATTCAATCCCAGCGAGACAGATGTGCATCTGGGATATGGATAGATTGGATCGGATGCTTTTTTTTTAAACGTCTCCTGTCCTGATTGGATGGCCATAAATTTAGATTTGCTTCGCTGTCAGTAATGCGTGCTATTCTCCGGCACACATCACAGGGCCGAGCAGGCCGTCTCCAGCATGTTGTGTTGTTAGTGTGCTGTGTGTGTTTGGGTGTGGTGTCTCCTCTAGAGACCAGGCTTCTGCTCTCAGAGTCAAAACAAGATTCTCGCCCAGCCAGACGTCTAGACTAGCTCAGTTTTTAAACGGGACGTAAAAAAGTTCAAGGTTTATGGACATTTTTAAGCAAACTAATGCCTAA